ACTGGAAATAAATATAAGAAGGCTTAAAGAGAAATGTGAGAATACAGGTAAAAATTGTCAACCAAAGAAAATAAAGATTAAATATTTATATTTAACTGTTGTATAGAGGACAAATAAATTCAGATCGACATAACTGCTGGCTAAATATAATGCACACGTATAGAATTGAAAGATTATTCAATAATAAGTCACTCCTCATTCGCCAGTAAAGTTTGATAAGCTCTTGTATTTCTAGACTGTGAAATAAGTCAGAATCTCTTATAAGACATGAAGAATAAACAAATGACGATAACTTGTGCTATAGCTCGGGGATCTTGTATTTTCCTCCTGCTGAAAGGAAGTAAAACACTGACTAGTTTCCGCACACTTAGTACTCGTGCCGCCGGGATGTTAAACAGTATATGGACAAAACATCAAAACGGTAAGTAGAATAAAACAAGTTAAAAATATTGTCCTGGAACTTATAAAATTCTTCATCACATCTGATGTAGTACGATGAGGAGGTTCAAATAGAGTCGTTGGAATTGGTTTCAGATTCTTTGAAAATAAAGTATTCATTAATCTAAACAACAAGGGCTCTCCGATTCAAGAATATCTCGTTCGTTAAATTGCCGCTTAGAATGAGGAATATATTCTTATGCTCCGAGAGTTTTTCTAAAGCTCCTTCCTTTCTTGATTGTCTTATAATTGTAGAGTTGAAGATAAACTGTGTTTCGATGAATCTCTTGAGATAATATTGTTAGGGGGAATTTCAGTTGGTATGAAAGTGAATGAAGAAGATGAGGACGGTTAAATTTCGTTGTACTGCAGCCGTTTGGCTTATATACAATATTCATGTTGACGCAGTCCACGAGACTTCCTCCCTCGTTTCAGGTGAAAACGTGCTGAGCTTTCGTCCAGCATATGATGGACATAATCAGAGCTGTATGTTATTCTTGTACAAGTCTCACGTTAACACTAAAGCAAGAACACTACTTCGTATATAGACTCAATTGAACAAAATGAAAAATAAAAACCTAGATAAATCGAAATAGAGTGGTTTGGTTAATTTTCTTTCACACTCTTTCTGTTATTTTTGCTCGATTGTATGAGTATGTGTATGTGTGTGT